CCTCCTTCTCCTCCTCCTCCTTCTCCTCCTCCTCCTTCTCCTCCTCCTCCTTCTTCTCCTCCTTCTCCTCCTCCTTCTCCTCCTCCTTCTCCTCCTTCTCCTCCTTCTGCTGCAGCACGCTCCCTGGAACACCAACACACTACTACTTATAGCCGGTCTACTGACCTGGATTCTTTTTTCTCGGCTTCTATTTCCCGCGCTGCATTTTGTTTGTTGCGCCGGCGGAGTGTGTAGGGTGAAGGAGGGGAGGAGAAAGGGGTTTGGCTGAGCTGGTCGGGGCCGGTGCAGTCTGTTGCCATGCGCGCCAGGATTACGCTATAGGCGTTGGGCAGACAGGCGCGCCTGTATATCCCTATTTCACAGAATGTCGACCTCGGTCGTTTATCGGAACATTTCGGGGTTAGGTTGGAGTGGACTCGCACCACAACGCACTCCCCTAACAACCAGTATGACGACGCGCCCTCGCCCTCCCTCAGCTTTTCGCGTCGCTTTGCCGCCATGAGTGCGCGAGCGCGCGGCTCGGTCATATGGCGCGTGTGCGATGGTGTGTACAGCCCGCTCTGTTACGTGCACGCCCACGTGCTGCACGAGGTGGTGCACGCGGTGGTGCACGTGCACACTATCGCCCGCACGTGCGATATGGCTGCGCGCTGCTCGGGCATGCTCTGCACACAGCCCAACACAATGGGTGCGTATGCAGGCACGGCTGCAGGCAGGGCAGGCGGGGCGGCCGTCTGTCGCCGCACCTGGCTGCGCCTGCTACGGCAGCTGCGTGGCAGCTTTTGCCGGCCAACCCAGCTGCGCCAGCTGCGCTGGTCTGCAGCTACGCCAGTTACGGCCTGCTGCGCTAGCTCCGCCAGCCTGAAGCTGCGCCATCTTGCATGCTACGCCAGCTGCTCCTGCGCCCGCTGCGTTAGCTGCCTCAGCTGCCTCAACTGCGTCAGCTGCGCTAGCTGCGCTAACTGCGCTAGACCCCCTTCAGCTGCTGGTGCGGCTGCACGTTCAGTCGCTCACGTGGCCGCCCATAACACAAACACGGCGTGCACACACAGACGAGCGTGTTTCCTCTCACAGATAATGTAAGCACGAGGCTCTGCTCAAGCGGCGCGAGCGTGGGTCGGGCCACGCTCGCCGCCCTCCTGGCTCGGCTCACACGCGTGCGCTGCCGTCGTGGTGTGTCGCCGCGGCCGGCTCAACGCTCGATGTAAACAAACACAGTCTTTCCCCCTCCTGTCCGCGCGCGGCCGCGCCGCGTTTGGGTTCGGGCCGCCCGGCCCAGTTCTGACCCGGCCTGACCCGCCCGCCGCCCGGCTTTGGGGCTTATCAGCACCCCCCCCCCCCCCCACCCCCCCTCTCTTCTCCACTGCGCCTCACCTAGCCTCGCCCCGCGCCAGCCGACACGACGCGCTCCGCGCAGACTTCCTGAAGCTCGCTCTGGCCGGCCCGCCCGGCCACTTGACTCGTCTCGCACTACACCCGCCCTGCCCCCGCCCGGCCCGCCCCGCCCCGGCCGTGCTGCGCAGTTAGGCCCGTGCTGCAAGTCCCGCGGGCTATCTGGCTGGCCCCAACCGTATCGACCGATATCGAAGTGCCTGTGGCCCAGGCCCACCGCGGGCGCGACGAGGAGGAGCATAGACGACGCGGAGCTGTCGAAGCCAGTGTCCATTGTAATGCAGCTGCAGCTGTGCACTCTTTAGAATAAAAATTACATACTTCGATATTTAGATACTTTGATAAGTTTTTTTGAAAATCTATGCTTATTATTGAAAACATTCTATTTGAATAAAAGCACACATAAAACATGAGAAAACCTGAAAACCTGCTTTGAAAGGGACAAGAAATTTTTCAGTTAAGTTATTCTGTGAAAAATTTGCGTCCTTTTGGACAATTTTGGACCGTCCGGAGAGTTTCTCGGGTTCATCCGACAAATTTACGGGATCCTGGCGCCTGTGGGATCTAGGGTAGGCCGCCCCGCACAACACGCGTGCACTGCGGGCAGGATGTTGCCTACCTGCCAGGCGCTATAGGAGAGAGAGAGACCTTCTTTGCGCATGTTGAACTCGGCATAGTGTGGGTGATCCGGCGACGCGCGTCTCGGTCCGGTTCGTGTGCGGGGGCCGGCGACGTCGTCGTGCTTGCCCCGCACCTGCCCGGTCTGGTCGAGCGTGAGCCGGCTGCTGCTCTGGAGGCATAATTGACACGACAAGGACCCCCTCTCCTCCCTCCCCGGTATGGAAAATTACTCCCTGGCTCTGGGGAGCCCCGGAAATTGCGGCGGAAGCACCGGGCGAGCAGGTGACGACGGCGCGCGGGGGACTGTGACTGTACGCTGCGCGGCAGTTTAGCGTGTCGGACGTGCGAAAGAATGAAGCATTTCGGAGCGCGAGTTCGCGCGCTATAACGCGCCCGGCGATCGAGAAATTTATATGACTTTTTCTATAAAGCGTCGCAACTATATATCCAGCGCACTTTTGTGGCGACGCGCGGGGCGCCGTGCCTTTGTGTCCCGGGCGGGTCGATCAGCCGCGGGTTGGAGAGTGGAGAGTGCTGTAACGGCCCCGTCAATCGATCTTAACTGAACAAGCCCGCCGGTCTCACATGAACTCTAAACAGCATATGTGTGGAGGCGCCTTTCAGGCCTTTCTTGTCAAAATGGTTGCCGGTCCCTTCCTATGCAGAACTTTTTGAAGACGTGAAAAATTATAGCAGGCAATAAAAGAATGCCAAAACTTTTGCAAAGGAAAAGCGACCTACGTCGTTTGGAAGTGATGAGCGTGGAGCCGAAATGCCGGGTCTGTTCAGATGGGTGGCGGCGCGACGGCGGGCGGCCCGTTTTCGCGGTGAAACGAGTTCCTTCTTTTCTCACTCTCCCCTCTGCTCGCCCTGTCTGCCTCGCGCTCTTTCTCTGTCTCTCTCTCGCTTGCGCTCTCACCGGTTGGCAATGCCTTCGCCCCCCCACGCGCCTGTCCCCTGTCAGGACATGTGCCAATGTTGACACTTTTGGAGAGGCGCTGCTGCGCTGCCGTGAGGACGCGAGCGGGGAGACAGGAGGAGGAAGAGGAGGAGGACGTCAATATTAAAAGAGCGCCCAGAATAAACAAATAGACCGAATTCATAGGAAGATAAAGGAAGCGATCTGCAGGCGGAATGAAAACACACGGCGGCGGTTTAAATAAGCGCGCCCTCCTCCTCCTCCTCCTCAAGGAAGCGATCTGCAGGCGGAATGAAAACACACGGCGGCGGTTTAAATAAGCGCGCGGGGTGAAAGCGGCGCCCGCTTGCTGCAGACCCGCCTGCCTCGCGGTCAAGTTGCGGTGGCGGGGCGGGGCGGCTCGGTGCCATCACCACCGCGACGGCGGCGCCGCTCCCGGCTGGACTCCTCGGGTCGGGTCGGCTCTGCATAGAGGCTTCTCTGACCCACTTGGACGGCGGCGGCGGCGCGGCGCGGCGACCGACCGCCCGCTGGTTTGTTTTTGATCGAGGTCTTTGCACCTAGCCCGCCCGGCCCGGCCCGGCCCCTCCTAGGAAGGAGCTGATAGTGCAAGGCGCACCTCACGTCAGTGCCGTTTGGCTTTAGCGATAGCGCCCCCCTCAAAGGACTTCTGCTTGGCTTTGTGAGCCTGACTGATGGTCCTCTTTCTCGTTGACTTTGTGAGCCTGACGGCCCTCTTTTGCTCGACTCTGTGAGCCTGGCGGTCCTCTTTCTCGCCGACTCTGTGAGCCTGACGCCTGACGGTCCTTCTTATGTTTGCAGATGCCTCTGGATGCCCGCGGCCCGGCCGGCAGCAGCGAGAGCAGCGGGGTGCGATCGCAACGCCGGAGCTGAGCGGTGAGTTGTCTTTACTGTAACAAGTACAACGTTCGTAGGTTACGTTATTTGGGCAAAGACTGGAGCTATCGAAGTATACAATAACAGCGCGCTCAACTCGTGTAAGGACCTCCATCATTCATTAATATTTCATGAACTAAACGGCAGAATCTTCCATGGGTAGTTGGTTGTCTTGTGTGGTGGAATGGCGGCATTACCTCTGGCATTACGCAGTGAAAAGGTGGAGGAACTGGAGAGAGAATGTCTGCGTGCGGCCAGCGCTAGAGCATTTGCCGGGGCTGTGAAGAAGCACCGAGCGAATCCCGAGAAAGGAAAAGGATTCACGCTGATCAAGACATATATTTCATTAACTCGTATCTGTAACTCGAGTGAGAAAACTTGTACGGCGTTGGAACGGCGCTGGTGCTCTTTTGCACGGCGAGCCCCTTGCGACCGGGG